GTGGCTTTTTCCTTGTCTTTTCTGGATCCCGCCGGTCCGCCCTCGCCTTCTCCTCCTCGGCGCCCGCACCGGTGAGCTTCACGCTCCTCAAAAAAAATGCGGATCGACGCGTGGAGCGAAAGGAAGATCTGAGTTGGAAGCTTGTTCAACCTGTGTCACCTTGCCCTATACTATACATATTCTGTTGGTTTTAGAGCTTCATGAGAAGAACTGAGAATGTGGATGTGTTTTGAGTTTGGAGTGGGCTGAGGTTTATGACGCTGCTCATCAAACCATGCCGGTATGATATAAAGCAGTTATAAACAATGACACATTCCACACACATCCTCCTAAAATACATCTGTCGTAACACGGTCATGACTCACGAGTCATATAGATAGATTGTTATTGCTTGAAGAGCTGTCTGAAGCCTGCTCTAAGATTTACAAGCTTAGCAGTCACCAAGAAGTTTTTGTTAATGTAGTTCCAGTGGCCAGGCGGGCTGAGCTCTCCCATGTGGCAATATCTGAGATGTTCATGGAATGTCATGGAATGTCGCGCGGTAGAAGCTTGATTGATTCAAACGCTCACATCGTTTGCGCCGTTGACACCTGAGCCATGAAGGCCCTGTTGGTCACCCGTCGTAACGCGTTTGAAGCGGAAGAATTACCGTGCACCAATCAACACAGAACCTGGGATCAATCGAAAGCCTCATGTGACTGTACTGAATCTCTAGCTCCCTCAGTTTGTCTGGAAGATAAAGATTACATAAGATTACCCTTTGCTCCACCTGTTCTTGTTGAGTGGGGAAACCACTCCCCTCGTGCATTCCTTACACTGGCCTACTAGCCTACTAGCCTACCCTGGGTTGTTTCAAATCCCGTCCGGTCTCCTGGCGGCGGCAAAGGACCTGCGACCTGGCTTCAACTGATGTGAGAGGATTCGATGGTCCACCACGACTGGTCCACCTTCCCCACACCCCAACAGACTTGGATTCATGGGAATGAGATGGAATGAGGGTGGTCAACCATATTTCGGGTGGTTGGTCAATCAGTGAGTGCATCAGTCAATCCGTTAGCCTTTAGCGGTCTGACATCCCTCATGCTGTTCAGAGCACCCTGGAAATTCTGAGTGTGGAGGCTGAACATCTGCTCCAAACCTGTCAACACGGCTCCTGCAAATGATCAATTGGCACACAAATGCCAGGCTGTCAAAGGGAGTTTTCTTGTGGGAGGCGTGCCTGCCCCATAAACGCTATTGGACACACATTGTGATGCTGACAGTGCCATCCAGACTGCAAACCTTTCTCAAACAGGCTCAACTCAGCTGTTCATGGCTGGCAGATGGCAAACATTCCACATCTTCCGACCCCAATTCTGTGATGCTTCCGACACCAATTCTGCGATGCAGGGAACACAGAGACAACCTCAAGTGAGGCTCTGAGCACATTGGTCCAAAGTGGTCCAAATCTCCCTCTCATAGTCTATCAAACTCTCTAAACTCATATAACCTTCATCGAACTCGGCGCCGACCCCTGGCGCTCGGCGGGCGCCAACATCGATGTGTGGTTCCTGTGCCCTCCGTCTCTCGGCCTTGCAGCACGACGGAGCCTAGGGATGCCACAGACCTCGAGGCGCCCCGGTTGGACGACCGTTGGAGGCGGTTCCTCGCAGGTGTGGCACCGGGAAGAGCGACCGGTGGGGGGCAGTTCCCCGGACGGTCCGGCGTCGGAAAACAGCACGGTGGGCAGGGTGAGCAGGGTGAGCAGGGGCAACGAAGTGGACTATCGAAAAGGGACCAAGAATGAAGAAAGGAAAGGGGAGGCGTCGGAAATGCTCCAGAAACTTGGAAGGCGGGGTTTCTCTTCAAAGCCGAACGCCCTTGAGCCCCACGTCCAGGGACCCCAAGCAGCAAGCGCGCCGCCCGGCTGACGGCCTAGGGATCCACGGTGAACAGCGGGAGCTCTGGTTGGATCTGGTTGAGCAGAAGCTCGGGGTATCTGCAGTTTAAGATTTTGAGACAGGTGATGGATGTCGGATGTGTTGTAATCGGAAACCAAAGAGGCTGCATACACAGGATGTTCTTCCAAAGGGAGATTCTTGTGAACGACTACCGGTCAAAGATACGCGCCACGGCCTGGTGCAGCCAACGGCCGACTGCGCCCCTATGCTTCCCTGGGTGCCAACACTGACTGCACTCAGTACACATCCAGATCGCCTGACCCACGCATGAAGTTCAAAAGGGTAGGTTCGTTTCAACTGTGCTTGAGGTGTAGTGGTGTGTCTCAACTGTGCCAAATAGCCACCTCACTGTCCGCCCAAATAGCCACCTCACTGTTCGCTGTAGCGGTACCGCATATTTAGGGTCTAAGGACGTGACACGTTGACGTCCCACGATCCCTGACGATCCCACTTCGACGTGCGTCTGGTCGATCTTACATGAACGAACCAGCTTCAAACAACCAGGGACCCCTTGAAGACTCACATTGGACGCTGAAAACCACTGGTTGTTAGACGAAACGCATTTTGCAGCTGCCCATTGTCAGGGTCCATGTTAGTTTGGAGGGTCAATCAATCCGAAATCATCCGAAATCCATACAAGTGGAATGGATCTCATGATTCTCATGCAGGCCAGGCCTCCGGAATGCTGCCCTGGCACCCTGGCGGCACCCCACCCCTTGGCCACCCGGCAGGCGCGAAGCCTCGCTTCGTGGCCGAGAAACCCGAGGATTTTTGTATATATATTGGGTGTGTCGTTGAACAGGGAGACCCCCAACCAATGGGTTTTGGATGGTGTTGGTGTTGGTGTTGGTGCTGGTGCTGTTGCTGCTGTTGCTGCTGCTGTTGCTGCTGTTGCTGCTGTTGCTGCTGCTGCTGTTGTTGTTGTGCCTTACATGCACGCGTGATCGAGCTTAGCGGGCTTGGCAATCACAATGGTACTATGCACATGCAACTCATGCAGAACTACCCCAAACTGGAACCTGAAGGCCCGCGGGATTCATGTTCAAAGTGGAGCGGGTCTATTTCCCTTCTTCCAGGGGGTCGAACTGTGGCATCGCTCGGCTCCATGTTCCTTTCCTTCAAACAAATTGGGTGTCAACGAACTGACTGACCTTTCGGTGCATTCTGCAACACCCATGTCTACCCAGCTCAAGCAGCTACCGGGGCCTACAGGGGGTGCCCTCTTGGGCACTCTTTTGGGCATCGACGGTGGCGAACGTCTAAAGACGAGGGATCCATCCTTTCCAGACTTGGGGCAGCTTGGGATGGATCGGACTCGGCATCCGGAGATGGCAATTCTCTAGACGCTTCTCACACTCTGTCAGTCACTCTGAGTCACTGCCTCAAGTGGCATGGGCCCCGGGTGTTTTCCGTCCACCTCCGCCGACCCTGCCGGCGGGTCTTCGTCCCTCTCCGAGTAAGACGACCGCGCCGGCGGGGTCTCGTCGACCCGGGTCTCCAGTTTCAGTGACGCTTCTGTCTCGACTGGAGCGCCGGTCTCGGGGTCAGTTCTGAGGTTGAGGTCCATCTTAGTTTTCTTAGTTTTCTAAGATACTATCGGAGGTGATATCATCATCTAAGATATCAAGTGTTTTCAAAAGATCGCAACGCCGGCAGGAAAAATGGCGCCCCCTACCTATGGGATTCCAAAAAGGCATCTGTCTATCCTTTCTGTTGGAGGAGTACGCCTGATAGGCCCATGTGGGTGTACCTTGGTCATCTGGGCCACATGATGTTGAGCAGCGGCTGGACAGCCCTCCCATGCTGGACAGCCCGGCCTTTGAGGTCTTCGGGGTAGATGTTGGGCAACATGGCACGTGACCGGCGAAACGGGTCAGTGGTGTTGGGCAAATGGCTGCTGCTTAGCCTTGGCTATTGATTGTCGGCCTAGTCTGAGACTAGGAAAAAAAAACACGACTAACTGCTCAAATGGTAGTGTTGCACAAGGCACTCCACAACACAAGGCCACAAGGCACGGTGCTCCGCATGTTTGATGCCAACCTCCGCATGTTCTTCTGCCCTGGTTAAGAGGCTACCGTTTCCTCGCTTAATCACACCGTTTGAATTACCAGCGTGACCGACTTGGCAGGCATTGCCGACTTGCCTAGTGCTGGGTGTCACCCACTGATGAAAACGGAGCATTGGGGATTTGTAACAAAAAGACCACCTCCATACTTTCAGCTTGCTGAGTAGGCTGAGTAGAGAAGGTGGCACAGGAATGCCTGCTTCATCTGGTGTGAGCAGTCAGGACCATAAGTTGGTGTGTGCAGTTTGGTGTGAGGCAAAATATTCTTTAGTACAGTGGTGCCTGATCTTACAAGCTTATCTTGCGCCGTGAGCAATTTGCAGCACATTTCACTGCTACGGGGTGAAGCTTGAGCCACCAAAAGCATCCAATCTCTATGTCTGGCCCTGAAATGACCTGAAAACCTTGGTTTGTAATCTAGCAGGAGGCCCAGTAGCAAGTGACACCCAACCAACAGCCTCACATTCCAGTCTCAGCTCCTTTTCTCGCAACCTTGCACGGCCACCGCTGAGCGCAAGTTCGCTCACCGCACACTCTGCCAGGCGAAAGCCTGACATCACCCGTGCAGCGCGCGGCGTGCTTCAGCCAGGGGGTCAGGCAGAGACTTACTGCCGTCAGAGGAAGAGCCTCAACATCCAATTGAACAATGATAGCGTCCTGTCATCCAGTCCCACACATCATAGCTTAAAACGGTATGACTTCATTCCTGTTCAGAGGGGGATGCTGGGATGCTTGCTTGTCAGACCGTGTACGTTTGTTTGGAGGGTTTGTCCAGTCCTGGCATTTATCATTTGTCCATATTTATCCTGTCCGTAGAGATCATGGGGGAGGAGAGAAAACCATAAGGAACAAATACTTGTTACAAAACTGTCTTTGGATGCCTTTTGAACATCTGCCAATAGATTGCGAGTGATACTCCACCACCGATATATACCGCTTTCAAAGTCTATTGGACATGTTTTGGATCTTCTCTTTCTGGATATGATTCTCTCATGATCAGAACGTGGTGCTTCCTCTCGACTGGTCGCTACAAGCTTGATGCTAGTGACTGGGGGACGCTCTTCATCCCCGTTCCCCGCAGCTCACGGAAGCTCAGCGAACGCGATAAGACTCAGTGTCGCCAGCCTGTTGAGTCGGGGGCCTGCAGGGTGACAGCTGCAGTGGTTAACGACTGCTGCAGTGGTTCCAAGACTTGCAAAGGGGTGGAGGCTAAAAAGCGGTATAGCATTGCATGGTACTTAGCATGGTATAGCAGTGTTCATTCTGCATCAAAGCCAGCTGTTTGGAGCTGCACCAGAGAGAGAGAGAGAGAGGGAGATGGGTGGAGCTCCAATGTGCGACCGGCCGAATCCCGCCGGCGACCGGCCCACAGTAACCCCAATGCCAAAAACATCACTACATTCACGTACATGTTGAACCGTAGAAAAAGGTGTTGCTTTACAAATCGATTCACTGTTCATCACTTTTCTATACTTTTCTATCCAATTCTGTTCATTGGGAGTCCACACCCCGGGCTGCTTCGGCAAAAGAATTTAAAACATATCAAGTCCAAGGCGCACAGTCGCCCTTCTCGCGCGCATCCTGGAAGCGATGGCCTGGTCCGTGGGAGGTTGGCGGTTGGCTGTGGAACCTGTCGAACATGCACTGGATGAACTTGTTCAAAACCAAATTCGTCGTGGCCGACCCAAAAGAGTTCACTCATGCCACGCAACTGCTGAGAAATACTGTCAACTTAGCTCCTGCTGCTTGCCTCTTGCATAAATCTTCCCGAAACAAAACGAGAAGATAGACCGGTGGGATCAGCGGGTCTTTCACACCTTTTGACAACAACTCTGGATTCGGTTCATGCCATGCTCCTTGAACAATCACTGGGCACCTGAGGGGGCGCCCTCTCACTTGAGGCTCCCAAAAAGCCTTCTTGGTCCTTTTCTTCTCGGACTGCACGACCGCTCCGTCGCTCGCACGACCGCCGATCTGTCTCGCCGCGACTGACCTGTCTCGGCGCGACTCGCGTTTCCCCGCCGAGAAAGAGGCGGCAGGATCGGCAGTAGAGCTCCGCCACTGCACAGCGATAGCCTCGGGAGCTCACGCTCGAGGAAGGTCTCCCACTGGGCGGGAATCAGGGCCAAGATCATATTTAAAAGGAAGCCTCGCAATCAAACCAGAAAGATCCATCTTCATCTCTTACAGGTAGTGGTTGCCCCATAAACCCACCGTGCGATCAAACCATTCGTGGCCTCAAGACATCCAAGCTGGTTGACTGTGATCTACTGTGATCAAATCACAAAACAAACAAACAGGTACGGTCAATCACAAAGAGCCAAGCAAATCAAATGACTGACGTACTTACTGACTGAGTGTGGAAAACTCGGTCAGCTGCTTCCCCCAGACCTTTTGGACCAACCCAACCTGTCTCTACCAGTCCATCTTCATCACAGCAGCTGCCATAGCCGACCACCGGACGCATGAGGAGGGCCTGCGGGCGATGTCATCACCGATGATTTGGGGATCGCCAGTAGATGAGCCAAGGCGGCCAAGGGCCAACGGGCCAACGGTCATCGTCATGAAAAAACATGTCTGCACATAATGACTGAGCACACATAGAAAGATACTTATTTATATGACTTTAAATATACTTTTCCTGGTAAATGCAAGAAACGCGAGCAAGACATCCAAGGTACTGTAAAGCGGGTATTGCATCCTTCGACCATATATGGTTTGGTGCAAACATGTGAAATTGCAAACCCGAGCACCCCTAGCACAAAAGGGAAGGTGTTTCTTCTCTTTCATGCAAGGCCCACGCCGCCACTTGGGCAGGCATGCGCGCACCCTGTTGGAAGAGTACTATATAGGTCTGTTCTTGGGAATCTGACTGCTTTACTGGATTCAGGCGCTGCACAAAGCTGCGCGGCTCTGGAACGAAGACGACGCGCCGTGCCGACGGAACCGGGATCTCCCCAACCCAAGGCCAGATGGAAGGGAAAAGAGTCAATCAAAAAATGCAAATGAGATTGATGGTGCCTCCCTGAATTATTGGACATTTGGACAACCTATGGCCTTGGCTCCAAAATTAGCGAGGCTAAGGAAAACGAGGTCACACGAGTCCCCCGGCCCCCCCGGATCGGTAAACCTGCACCGGAACCGATGTGCTTTCCAAGTGTCATCTGCTTGGAGCCACAATCTACGAAAACAATTGCTTCCAAAACGTACCAGTATCATGTGCAGAATGTCTGCAGAATAATCAGAGTTATATCCATTCCTCCCAGGTGCTCCAGCAAATCATGTTCCCCAGTCCTTTCGCTTTTGATGAGACGAAAAAAGCGCCTCCTCCGCTGTCGCGCGCCGAAAGGAGGGCCATGCGCAGGGGCCGCGCCACTTGGCGCTGGAGTGGTAGAGCTCCTGCTGGCACCTTGAGGGCATTGAGGGATGGCTGGAATGCCATGGCGTGAGATGAGCCATTCAGATCCTTTCTCATGTTTATCTAAACATGTCGATCGCATGCGGAATCGCATCGACACATTGAATGTCTGGAAAGGTTCCATCGTCCCATTCGCATCGTCCCATCGTCTAGCGAGGAATCACGTGTCAGTTGTTTCTGATTTTCTGAAACAGGACTGGGAACGAGGCACTGCAGAGAGTTCGTAGCTGAGAGATCAAGATACCAAAAAGCATCACAGAGTCAGAGTCAGACAACTTTCCATTTCTGACACCATGTCATGTCACATCGAAAAATGAAAAGTCGATGTCTGTCCATTTCTCACGACTGCAGGTTCTTGCATCCCCAATATCTAAACCTGTTCACCGCTGGCTTTAAAGTACAAGAGTCCTTGCACCTACGAACCCCCTGTGCGCGCACCTGGCACAGCAGTAGACCCCTTGCGCCCAGTGGTCAAGGAATGCCTGGCCATCAGGGCGTGGGTGAGGTGCTGGTGTAGAGTTCCACCATCCCGTTGGGCCCTCCTGAAGCTCGTGGGTCAAAACCGACGTCTTGGTGACTTGGTGTGCGCAATCCCTCGTCTTCACAAGACCATTGACCGAAGGAGGCAGCTCTGAGCGTTGGTGGGGTTCCTGGAACATGAAAACAGAGTGCAGTGAGCGTTGTTCGGGCAACCTGAAACCGATGTGAACATCCCATATGATGAATTGCATGTGGAATCTCTCCGGAGTTTGTCTCGCTCCCCACGCCCCGGCGACGCTCCGAGCCACCCTCGAGCGGCCTCTCGGCCCGCGGGGCCCGCCGCCGCGCTCTGGGCCTCGAGGGTGAGGGACGGGACGTGGATGGCCCATCCCGCCATCGCTTTTGGTTCGCTTTTGGAAACACCGGTGGTGAAACCAGTGGGCGCAGACTCACCACTGAACATTTCAATGAACTGAGAGGACACTGACTCAGTAGCCAGTTTCGGTTCATCACCACAAAGCTTGGGGGTGTTCCTTTGACCAACTTATCATGAATACTATTACGTAAGGAGACACATCCAGTGTTCTGCAGCCAAAATGGAATATGCTTCATGACATGTATTCAACAACTCTACTGCTGGTTCAATGGCCATGCAGCCAAAAAGCCACCCAATGGCACCAGAGCAGGTGCCGTTGGAAACCGCAGTAATATCAAAGCATGGGCATGTCCATACCATTTCTCTTTGTTTCAGGAATCCCTTCTTCGATGTCCCTCTGGGCATAAGGATGGAAGATCGCCTCGATGGCATCCTCCGGTGGCCCGGCAATGAGCGGCGCGCTGGCTCCGCTGGCCCCGCTGGCCGCCTGGGGTTGGACGTGTCCGTCGGATCCAGTGGCGATAAATGACAGAGTGGTAGGTCGTTGATGTACAGACGCTCAAACAAAAGACCTTGCGAATACTCAGCTTGGATAAAGCACCCACATCCACGGGGATGGACAAGGCCATATTCCACATCACCACTATTTGTGCAAAACTATCCACAAACACAACCCAATCTGGAACAAACAAGCCTCAATTAATTGTTGCGAGTGATATCTGAGAGAGGACCCTGCAATGAAGATCCCACGTTCGGTGAGGACCTTCGTCGGGCACAAGAACTGGCGACTACATGAACATTCCGTCTCCAAGGCAGACAAGACAGGAGACAAGAAGGGAGACAAGCAAGGAGACAGGTGGAAAACAGATATAAAATAATCCGGCCAAGAGATACCCTTTGAATTAAGTGGGGGGGTTGGGTACACCGATTTTATAGTTATGCAAATGACATCCAAAATGAGAGGCTGCATTTTGAGCTCTATAGAATTGAGGATTGTGAGGCTGAAATTCATGGCCAGCTGTATAGAATTGGGCTGGGGACATGGAAAATAGGTAGACAACTGGTAGACATAGCAAGTACAAACACTATAGAATCATAGGGAACAAGGTATTTTCGAACTGTATTTTCAATTATTGGATAGTAGGGCCTCTATAGAATAGCAGTCTTTGGGTTGCAAACTCTGAATACGCTGGACACAGGACCTGTAGGAACCTATTTCTGCATGAAAGCTACCACAATTCTATCGTACTTCAACATGATCATTGGCCAAAGTCACCTTCACAGATTTTATAGAACACCAATATCTACCATCTTATAACATCTATACGCATGGACCGGGCTATTTAGCACGCCTCTATCTAGTTCTTCCAGGGATTGTGACAACTCATGACATCATGACTATGTAGTTGTTGATATATGTACTTTAATTTGATCCAATCTCTGTGATTAACCAGGAGTTGTATGGGATCAATTCCCCTTGATCCCTTGAGCAAACACATGTCAAGCATCAGCCATGTGACCTTGGAAAGACACAGCAACTGTCCGCAAGTACAAAATCTATAGAATTGAGACCCTTGACATGTAAAATTCAATCATGGCTGACAAGTGTAAAAAAATCCGGCCAAGTGTATTCAGAGTAGGCAGAGAAAACATAAACAGAGTAAGAGCCCCATACAATGCCATACAAGCAAACCGTTTGAAGAAAAAACTTCCGGCAGCTTCTGCACATAGCTTCAGCGGCCTCCTCCAACACCGCCTTTCCATTCCGGAAGCGGCGCACGTCGCCGCTACTCGCCACCCAGTCTGGCCATGGCTAGGTGGGAGTTCATCATGGTCAACAAACAGGATGTGTATGCTGTGTACGGAGTACATTTACAGGACATCTGTCCTCGACTTCAAGATGGTAACCAGTTGAGGTTTGCTTTAGCCTTTTCAATCTATTGGAGATATTGAGGGTGCCACAACTTTTGCGACTCAATTGCAAAGCTGTTCTATTTTCTTGGAGATGCAACATGTAGGCCAACCCCGCCACAGAATCTCTCCTGCCTGTTCCGCCGTCCCAGAAGGAGCACATGCGGAAGTACTCCTCCTTGGACGGACTGATGATTGTCATAATATGTGGGATCAACCCTCAAAGCACCTTGCAAATGCATGGCACTATGCATGGCTACACATAACAAGTAATTAAGCATACATACACTGTTTTAAAGATTATAGTGACCCCAAAATATTTGAAAAGAACTTCAGTTCTATCAAGATGGTTTCCTCATGTGTCTCACATGGTCTTTCGAGTCTTGCGGGCCCCTGTACCAGCACGAGTGTGGGTGTGTGAGTCTGGACACAACTGTACCATAGCTGCAAAGAAACCTGGGGCCAGCCGACCTACTTACTTCTCAATCAAGAACCTCTTCCTCTTGGAACCCTCCCAAATCACCACCTTTCAGTCCTTCCCAGGGGCCTCTTGCAACAACCACGTCCAGAGGTTGTTTGGGGTTGCCTCTTTGAGGTGTCCAGATCCCATGAACTCCGTTTCTCGGTTTTTCATACGTCACATGACCTCGTCGATCCAGCTGCCGCAGGTCACAGGCGTGACCTGCCCAATATAAATAACAATACCCCTTCGATTCTCGTGCACTGCCACCAGGACTGTTTCTTTCCGGTTCTGCAAGGTCATGGACTTGCAGTAGCCCAGGTTTCTTCAGTCACGAAACTCGGTGTGCAAACCAGCACCCAAGTGCGTGAAAAGTTGAGCAACCCTTAAAAAGAAACATCTAATAGTCAATAGTCAATAAAAGTCAATAAAAACATCACAGGCTGAAGAAGCTGGAGGGGAAAGGGAGGAGCCCAACGAACTGTCGACCAAAACCAAAACCAAGACCTCGTCGACGGTTGACGGATGCTTCACATGGAGAAAGTTGTCATGTTGGGCACCAGAATCGGATGGACCCGCAAAATCCAATGTAAAAATGCAGGATCCGATGATTATGTTGGGTGAATCTATAAGAACAAATCAGAATAAAAAGAAATCGGTTTTGGTTGCTGCTTTTTGTGGGGAGGCTGGGAAGCGTTTTCGGCGTGGCCATGGTGACATAGATGTCTTGGAACGTGTCAACTAAACAATTCGCCCAGGGTCATCTGTCACCAACTCTTCAGCGTGTTCCACTGCTGGTTTTCAGCTTGGGGCCATGGCACAAAAAGAACGCTCGGTAGGGTCAAAACGTTTTTTCTTGGCACAGGCCTGGCCCAAGGAGTCAAAGAGTTTGCTGTAAGAGAACAGCCCAATCCTTCTCTGGCAATGTTTGATGACGTTACTTACAATTTGTAGGTTCGTTTTCCTCTTGGGACGAGTGAAAATCCACAAAACCTCGAAAAGGATGGCTGATGAATGCTGTGGCAATATTTATATAACGACTCCGCATGGATTGCAAGTCCCATGCCCAGCAGCAAAGGATGTCATCCGCCGCAAGTGGACAGAGCTGGTAATATGCAGATATTGCAAACACGATGGTTTCTTTGCTCCTGGCACTGGTGTAGTAGTGCAGTCGGAGGCTCGGTGTTGATTAATGGTAGCAATTGCCACTACAGCAAGCCCTCCAAGGCAGAGTCCGAGGTCTTCTTTTTTCGGACATGTTTCACGCATTGCTTTCAGGGGTGATCTTCCTCACGTGTCAACCTTAGGCTACGCTTTCCAGCCTGAGCCAGAGTGAGCAGTGGGCCATTCATCCAGTCACAATTCCTGGCTCCATACTTCGGACGTGGTCGGGACGGCTGGCATCTTCCCTCTTCACCACCTCTGAGCGTTGGAGATCAGAAATCCGACTCGCGCGCGCGCCCGATGTCTTCCGCCCGGTGTGGCGCGTGCACCGCACGGGCAAGGTGCCTTTTTTCCTTCTGCGTTCGGCCAAGGTCCCCATGCTGCCACCTGGATGCGCGCTAAGGAGAGTCTGTCCAGGACCTACGTGGCTCGTTCTTAGAGGGCCCATGGCGAGTATGATGCAAACGAAAACCATCTAAAGCCCCTTGGTTGAAGTGTATCTGGTGGGTTTGCCTATTCCAAGGCAACATCACACCATACGCTACTCGCCAATACTCTACCCAGTAAACCTAAGGAGTTTCATCACCCCAACGCCACCTAAGAAGCTTTGCCCGTCGCACCCACCCGCGTCGCTCGCGAGCGAGCTCAGCGCCCGTCGCTCACCTTTTGTCGCTGCGATCGCGGCCGCCAAATCGGTGCGTCTCTCCCACCTCGATCTCGTTGGTGTCGGGGTCCTGGAAGAAGAGGCTCCGTTGTCGGCCGTAATCCTGCTCCTGACACCCAGAAAAAACGGTTAAGACAGTCCAGGTCCACAAATGACCATGTCAAGCAAACCAACAAAATTCGCAAAAATACATGTACAGTAAGCAGAAAACAGCTCTACGCAGCAGCCTTTGTTGCATCTGTCAACTTGCTGTGAATCGCACCTCCAGCCACAAGCTTTGATCCTCATGTGCACGGTGAAGTTGAAGCCTGAATGCCAACGTCCACGAGATTGGACTTCTCGAGCCGCGCGCGGTTGGGATTGTTCTAGATTCCATATATATATATATCGAAGGGACTTAGCGCCTGGCAGCCACCAAAGTAACCGGTCCCTTTACAGGGAAGGTGAACTCTTTCGCAGCCACTTTTGCAGCCCATGGTGTTGGAATCTAGGAGTATTACGTAACTACTGGCTGGGACATCTGAGCCCAAAAAAATATCCAAAAAGAACGGCGGACGTGTGCCGCTTCAGAAACCCCGAACATCAATTCTTCGCCGATGACGTTCCAAGACCTGTCCAAGTTTGAACCCTCTGGGCTGCGCAAGGCTGCATCAAGACCCCATCTGCTTGGATAGATCGAGGGATATGGAGCCCCCTGCTGCTTGACTCGTCCACTTAAGACTTGAAGAACGGACAAAAATGGACCTGCCAGGAAACCTGATCAAAACCATCCATGCCTAGTAGCTACTAGGAACAAGAAGCTACTAGGTTGCAGGCCATTTCTGGCTAGAAGCATTGCTCCTAGTATATTCCAGCAGTTCCCAAGGCGTGGTCTAGCGGGGCCCACGGTCCGGTCTCGGGATTCCTGACCGGCGCAGGGCGCAGGGTGGCTTGCTGTTCTTTCGATTTGCATTGGTTCTTTGTCCTGATCAAATGTGCTTTGTCATCGATTGAAAAAAAGATAGATCTTGAACATTCTTGAACCGTCTTGAACCCCTTCAATCACATGTGTCCATGTTCTTTCATGCTCTCCCTCTTCTCATTCTTCTCATTCTTCTCATTCTTCTCATTCTTCTCATTCATTTTCCCCAACTACTACGTCCTGGTGGCCCTCCTCGTCCGTCTCCCCTTCCCTCGTCTCACTCCGCCCAGCGACAGCTCCGGCAGCTGCCGTCGCCACGCGTCGAAGTCTGCGGCGCGAGTGCGGAGCCTCTGCGTGCGGAGCGGGCGAGTCCGTTGGGCATGGAAAAGCCTTGAAGAAAGCCCTCAAATGTCGTGTTTTTTGGGATTTGTTTGGGAGAATTGATGTGGAACTGGTTCAGTGAATAAGGCCTGGGTGGTTGAGAATAATTGAGTGTTGAGAAGAGGGTTAGATTGGAGGTTCCACAGCAAACACGAACCTTCCTGTCCAACTGGCAGAAATGACATGAAATGAACTTAACTCGGAACGTTCCCAACTCAAATTTGCCGAAAATCAATGAGACGTGTCACTTTCGCTGCCCCTTCTGAGTCCGACGTTGGCACGACACAAATCACTTTGTCTTGCAGCTGGCCCTCGGCCCTTCCCAAACACCACGCGGAAGAACGGGTGTGGGAAAGAAGATTCCAGCGACAATCTCTCCAAACAGGAAACCTCATGAGACCTTTGTGGTGCTCAACCATTGGTTTCTCGATCCGTTTGGTTGATCATCTCATTTGCACTCTGCCAAGGCACGCGAAATGCCCTCGCTGCTCCCGGGAGCCTGGTCCGGCGCTGGGTCTCTCAAGCCACCACCCCATCACCACGTCTCTGGAAAAGTTTCCCCGCAAGACTCACCTGGAGCATCCTGGAGCCTTTATATACATTAATATCTATAATATATATATATATATATCTGTATAATCAACCTGTTGCCAGTCGGATTAGTTGCCGGCATATATGGTTGGTTTCCAAAAGGTCTTTTCCCAAAGTCGTGCACTCATCGCAATTCCATGGGGGCCCGCTTCTAAGTCTCCTTTAAGCTCCAACCACACTCACAGCACAGGGATGTTAAACATGAAGGCGTGTCAACTGCAAAACTGCAAAAACTGTGAGAGGTGTCTAGCGCGGACCTTTTCAGGGGCCTGTTGAGCTGCTGGAGCTGTTGTTGTTGCTGCTACTGCTGCTGCTAGACTTGTGCAGTTGCTTCCAATTTTTGGTTCTCAGAAATCTTCAGAACGGCATAGGAAGGACATAAAAGCTGACTCAAAAGATTTGGGTGTTGGATGGTCAAGAAATGGACCGTCGTCTAGCGCGGTGCTAGCGCGGATCTAGCGCCAGCCTAGCGCAAAAATATCCGTCGATTTCTTTATCCTGTCAGATTTGTAGTTTTCCTGCTTGCTTGTCTGCTTCTTGTTGTGCCTTCTCCTTCTTCTTCTTCTTCTTCTTGTTTGTTTTCCTTTTTCTTGTCTTGTTTATTCTGTTTCCTGCGTTCTTCTTCTTTCTGCTTGCTTATCCTGTTATGAAGAAACCTAGCGCCAATCTAGCGCCATAGTCTGCTGCGGGCCCGCTTCTAAACGAAGACTTAAAAACATTTCCAACCTTAAAAGCTTACGTTTATCTATGTTTTGAGTAGGGCTTTTTGAGTGCAGTCCATATAGACATTTTGTCTTTGCAAGCGATATTCAAGAAAGCAGTAGCTCTATAGCCGGCCTCCAGCTACATAGACGTTACCCCGGCCACATCCGGATGCAACACAGCTGGTCAGATGCATCCTCCAGAGGGACAACCTCATTGTCTGAAACGTTCTTAAAATCCCAATCAGACCCAATCAAAGCATTCCCCACTTATTGAGGGCGAAATTGGGGGGCAGCAAACGAAAAGCAAACCTCCTTGTTGTTCTCTGTTAGAGAGTGTACTGTAACCTCCTTCTGAGATATGAAGGACCACCCATTCCGACGCTCACCACCGCCTCGCAATGGGTGCTCGTGCTCTGGCAGCCTCACCACCGACAGATCCCAAGATGACAATGGTTCGACTGGTTTGATGCACGTGCGTTGGCCATCAGGCATCGGTTCGAGCCACTCGACTCTCGACACAAGCCCAAGCGAGCCACGCGAGCCTGGAGTTCTTGATCGGCCCGTCACTTCAAAAAAAGAAGCGTATCGTCATGTAGACGGTAGACGGTGAAATATACTATCAGCCTCCCGTATACAGAATGGTTAGCGTTACATCTCTATAGCGGAGTTAAGGGGTCTTTGTCTTATCAATCAGTCTATATATACATTATCTACATACGTCTACATGACCTACTGACCTACATTAATGAAATGATTGGTCTCTAGCTCTCCCATGGAACTGCCAAGACTTGCCTGGGCCGGTAAATACTACATCTTTTTTGACGATTGAAAGATCTGGAGAACAAAACAAAAACGAGGAGTTTGTTCCTTATCTTCAAAGGCCAGCTGGAGAAGAACAACCACACTGCCCATCTCTTCCGGTTTCATAAGGTTTCCACCATGCCTCAGCAGCGCAAGAAGCGGCTGGTCTTCTCGCCCCAGCATGGCGATCGGGCCGTTGAACATGGGATCCTGAGATGTCGGCATGGACCATGGACCAGTGATGAGTCATATCGACGCCTGCCATCCGAGGTTGACCAGCCCTATGGGCCATACCACTAGAAAATCCTAGAAACTAGTTCAGGTCCCATAGGCCTCTCAACCTGGATTCCAAGGTCAACAAGACTGCTCGTTCTTGAGACATGAAGACTGGTCCCTGTTCTTGGGCCCTCGGGCGTCAGCAAAGAGATGTTGGAGTCCCAGGACGGCCTTGTACCTGGAGTTCGCACGCAGGTCCGGTACAAGATATGAGGCATCATGAGGCATCTGATCATCTCAGGACACTGGACGGGAAGAAGATGGAAGACGGGCGCATGCTTGATCCCTCAAGTGTGCTTCCAGATGTGGGGATGGTCCAGGTGGTACAGATACTTGGGCGCTGCTTAGCATGGCGGGGCCCTTAAAAGAAAGTGTTGGAAAGAGGAAAAATGGAC